CACTTCCTTCCACTTTATCACTCCCACTTTTCCTTCCTTGGTATCCCCCAGCCAGTCGCTGCTGAATTGTTGAATATGACGGTCAATTTCTGATTGGATCGACAGATGTTGAATCTTTTCCTTGACTTTATCCCATTGAGCCGAGATCTCTGTCTGAATCTGCTGCTTAATTGAATCCGTGAATTCTGGTCCTTCCAGCCTAACTCCTTCCATCTCATTTGTACACCTTTTGTGCCAAAGAGCCCATAAGATGGCTCTCCTCCCAACTAGGAATATATTTTGAGTGAAATCATCCAGCTGAGGGGGATTCCATGTTTCACATAGGAGGGCTTTCCAATCCCATGGCCACGGGAGTGAGGATGTGAGATGACTCCAAATCCTATCCCACCATCTCCAAAGCCATACCGCACGGAACATGTCAATCCTAGAGTTGGATCGGCCAGCTTCACCTCTCGACATGAGGCAGGTGTACGCCCTTCTGGTTGGGTGCAGCACTCTGTACAGGGATGCCATAAACTGCACAAGCATTTCCATATCAGGGGCCAGACTGCCAATAATGGCTACCAGATGTGGGCGTTGTGATGGTGACCTTCTGTCCAGCAGGGGATGGGGCCTGATGTTGAAGTCACTTGCCAAAATAAGTAGGGAGGTTGATGGCAATTCCTGATACAGGTGATGCAGCAGGAAGTGCACGGGATTTAAGGGACCGTTGGGTGCATACGCGCTGACAATACACAATTCTTCCTCCCTGACTGCCACTTTTACACAAACCCACCGTCCATCCTGTTTGTCGTAATCATAATCTATAGGGGTAGCCCTCAAGGAGGGGGCATCCAACTGGCAACTCCTGTTGATGCCGTGGACCGGGCCAGAGAAGAGTAGGATTTGTAGGGCCAGACCCACCTCTCTTTCGCCTTATGGGGAGGGGAGTGCGAGAGGTGAGTTTCTTGTACATATATAGTGTCCTGCCAATCCCCCATTCCCTCTGCTTTAAGCATCCGCCAGATTGCATCTTTCTTCTGCTCTGATGCTTGGGCCAGGCCGTTCAATTTCAATGGCCATATTTCTAGATCGGCCCAGGCTAGTTTCCGTCCCATTCCAACGGCCACCTGAGAGGCAGGTGGGCTTACGGGGCGGGGTGGGGAGCTGAGGAGGAAGAGGAGGGGGGGGTAGATAGCGTACACAATACATTTGCGGATTCATCTGATCCAGGTTGATGCCTATCTAGTTGAGTTATCTCACAAGTGTAATTGTCAGCGGGAGAACTGTACCGCCATGGTCAGTTGATTGCGGGAGGAGGCTAGTTGTTTGTTTCGCCCTGCCTTGAGTTAGCGGTTTGTTTTCCAAGTCGTTGTCGGAGTCAGGGTCTTCTTTTCCCGATCCCCCCCTTGCGTTCCTGCTCCCAGTCCTCATCTTTCTCGGTTAGCTGGTCGATCACCTGTCTTGTCAGTGGGTGAGGAGCCTCTGGATCTGCTACAAGTGGGTGACAAGCTGGTGAGTCTGCTTTGCAGTGAGCGGTCCAGGGGTCAAGGAGGTTGGGCGGTATCCTGTGCAACATGGGGGAACCAGCCTGTAACTGGGGCTTGGCCTTGTGAAGCACCACCATGCTGACCGTCTTCACCCGAATAGAACGCCCGGTCATTATCGCTGGATCTGGACCGAAAGTTATACAGCTATAATGACCGGGCGTTCTATTCGGGTGAAGACGGTAGCTCCTCTATTAATACTGCCGGTCAGAAATGCTGACCTCTGGTTCTCACCCCTGGGGTTCCTTTTTGCTTTCTGACTACCACCAGCTGTTTGGATGCGCCATGTTCGTCAGTCTTGCTGTTGAGCTCGTCGAGCAGTTTCATCATTGTGGAAATAAGGGCCCTTGCCACCTGTCGACAATCAATTTCCTCCAATTTATCACAATTGTTTGCTGCCTGTTTTACATGTGCTTTGGTCAATATTCTTCTCCTTATTTTTCCCAGTGCAAGGGTGGGATCAGTTCACGGATGGATATCGCGGTTGGGACTAGAGGGTTTTGGAGGATCCAGTCCACAAGCTCATCGAGGTGGGCTCTGACTGCTCTATTTCTAATCATAGATGTCTGTTTCTGTTTGGTCGGGTACTTCCTCGGGCGCATCCGCTTTTGTGTGCATTTCCACCTCCTGCCCTGGCGCCCCTGGGCCACTTCCTGGCTTGTATTCCCTATGCCGCCTCCTGTACAACAGGCTCCATTTCATGATCCAGAGCTTATGCCTGATTCCTCTTCTGCAGCCGTTTGAGGTATAGGTGTGGTGCTACCGTCAGTTCAGATTGTGATCCTGGAGGCGGCAGTGCCGCAGTTTGCAATTGCTGCACGGACTGTGATTGCAGATGCTCGTGTTGTTGTTGTTGCTGTAGCTTGCTGCTGCAGTTGAACTTGGTGCTGTTGCTGTTGTTGTTGTTGTTGATCTTGTTGATGTTGACTGTACAGGTAGTGGTGGTTATGTTGCTGTTCAGCCCGGTGTTGGAGCAGCAGCAGGATTTGCTGCTGTTTCTGCCTGTATTCCTGCTGTCGTTGCAGCAGGTAGGCTTGGGTTTGCTGTAATTGCTGCCATTCCAAGTAGCGGATTAGCTCTTCCATTTTCTGTTCATTTTCCCCCTGCTCTTCCCATGCGTGAAGCCACTGTCTGTTGCCAGTGCTCGCGTTCTGGTTGCAGCTGCAATTGCTCCTGGGCTTCCGGTTGCATCATGGGCTCCCTCTGCTGTGAAATTTCTTGCTGTGCTGCACGAGTAGCAGTTGCTCCAGCGAAAGGCTTGAGGTGCGGGCAGAGTCCTGGTGCATCGTGAGCTGAGTGCGGTCCTCCTCTGGCTGTCGTTGTGGGTTTGGTTGAAGATGCTGCTGTTACTGGCATACCTCTTCCACCACCGCCAGCTGATGGAAAAGGGCCCGTTGTTGCGCAGTTAGACCAGCGGCATTCCGGTTTGCTATTGTTGGTCGTAGTTGCTCCGCTGTTGGTTTTGCTGACCCCCGCTGAGCTGTAGCCTACCACTTCGGCTCAGCTCTAGTTGGCTCAGTTCCAGTTGCCAGACATGCGGCAGGTTTTGAGCTTGCTGTACATCAGAATCTGAGTCATCCCGATGGTCATGAATGGGCTCATCCATTTCTCGTAGCTGGATATCCCAAAGTTTAGCGGGGGCCCGCACCACCTCGAGTTCTTTGTCACCTGTCTTTGTTTTATTAGCAGCTGTTGATATTATTTGGTGTCATAGAGACACCCGTTGGGCAGGTCTGGGATGGGGGCATTGCTGCTGTACTTGTTCTATGTCCGACTGTTGTTGTTTCTGAGTCTTTGCCAGATCCAGCACCGCCTCAATTTCCCTTTTAAGTTTCCACTTGTATCTGGTCGGTCAACCGGTCTTGGTACTCTGAGGTACCGTGCTGGTGCTCAGACAGCTCCAGAGGGTCTGTCCAAGTGCCACTGGGTTTCTGGTCGGGTCTGTGAAGTCCACCTGTGCATTCTGCCGGTGTAATCATGCAGGGTTTCATTGTGTGCCATGTGGACAGCCAGAGAGGAGGCTTCAGCCTGTCTGTGTCACTAAGCAGTGTCAGTTCATTTATCCATGTAACCGTTTGGCTCAATTCTTCGGGAGGCAGCATGCCCCTTATTTCCACTCGCGGCAGGGGCTATTTCCCCTGTGCTTGCTTCCTTCGCTGGCTTCATGCAGGAGAGCTGAAAGACGTTATTTTGCAGCTCCCGTGCCGACCCTGGTTGCGTGTCCAGTTCCCGTTCGGAATGGTCTTAGAATTTTGTCCAACAAGGATGGGCAGTCTTTGATGCAGCGTGGGCGGAGATTGAATGTGACCTTCCGAGGGGACGAGGCATTTCAGCCCCTGCGCTAATTGTCGTGGGTAGTCAAATTTCAACACTTGATGCATGGGCCATGATTGACCTCTCTGCCATTTAGCCATGTGTTTCCCCTTATTGGGGTTGGGTCGAGACACAACTACCTTTCGTACCCTCCCCACCTGAGGCGGATGCGGGAGCCCTGGATCCCCAGCACCCTTCTGTTGCTGGTCCGGGGTCTGCACAGGGTGACCTATTTCTTTGAGGGCAAAGCCTTGTTCTGCCCCTTAATCAAGGGCTCGAACCGACTGTCCACTGGTCTGCAGCTCTTCTGCAGGGTGCAAGGGGGCAACCTGGTGACCCGGCTTGTCATCCTTAGTGACTATGGTCTGGGAGGCTACGGTCTCGTAAGTTGGGAGCTTCTTGCTCGATAGGTGGGTGTCAGCATCTGTGGACAGTCATTCTGGTCCCCTTAATCCTTGTGATTATGTAGCAGCAGTGTGTAAGAGGTCGATGGCTTGGTGACGGCCAGTGGGCCATCTTCTTCGTGTGCGGTAGCCTTGGAGGGCTGAAGTCTCACTCAGACTCCCAGCCAGTTCCAGAGTGGCATCTCGGGCCTCTGCTGGCAGTACTTCACCACCGGCTGTCCCCCGGTCTACTGTTCTGTCGTCATGGTTATAGCAGGCGCCGGGGGAACTGGGGCCTTGTCTGGGTGCCCGGCAGATTCCAAGCTGGCCATTTTGGGTGCTGCAGACGATACCTCTTCCTGGGGCGTGGCCTGGTCCACCGCATTCTCATCGCGGCAGTTTCTAATAAGTGTGGTGCCGTAATTACAGGGGCAGGCTGTGTTGTGTGGAGGGCCTGAGTGCAAAAACGACAAAAAGAAAACCGGGCATGTTTGCTTTTTTCAAGCTTTTGCCCAGTCAGCATGAGCCATCAGCTCACGCCGATTACGTCCCTGCCCTTCGTACACACCGCCCATTGATCCGAACGATTGAAGAGTCTGGTGAAGTCTCTGGATCACCGTGATCCCGGCGCTTTGCCTCTGGGGGTGCTGTGAGCAGTTCATTGAACCTCATCAATTAGCGGAAGTCATAACAAGGTTGCCATAGTAGTGGGAGCCTGGGAGGAAAAAAAAAAAAAACAAAAAAAAACAAGAGGAGGATCTTGGATGAAACACGCTACCTTCCGCACTCGGTAATCTTTCCATAAGGAGATGCTTGAGTGAGAGAGGAAAGGGGAAATCATCGGTCCAATCGACCTCCACCTCTTCGACCACTGACTGTCTGCCACAGTATATGTGTGCAATCTCCCTGAAGCACACACCCAGAGAACACCGAACGGAAAGAAAATAGAAAGGAAAGACAATGGAGAACAAAGTGAAAGACAATGTAGAAAACTGGAAATCTGCGGTTGATGCACACACGAGCCGAGGGTCCGGAGAAGAATACTATGGGACCTTTGAAACCAATCATAAAGTGAATTTTTTTTTTTTCTCACAGTTCTTTTTTCTGTTTCCCTTTGGGTTCTCTTGACGCGCAGGCCCCTGCACAAGAATGACATGCATAAATGAAGAAATGGTCCAAAGTTTTGTGAAAAAAATGAAAATTTGTAAAAAGGAAATAAAATTTTGTAAAAATATTAAAATAATGATCATTATTATAATAATAATTTCTTAATAAGGGATAAGTTGCAAAATGCCCCCATAAGTTGAGATATATGGCAAAATGCCCCTGAAGTATGTGGGCAGAGCGGAATGTCCTTTTGGGCCGAAATATTTGTGATATGCCCCTGTCAGGCTGGTGCACAAATTTGCAATCCGGACCTTGTTGTTTGGGCCTTGGCCTTTTGCAACCGGGCCTTGGAAAAGTTGGCAAGTACCAGGGCATTTTGCAAAGTTGGATGGTACCCAGTAGGGGTATATTGCAAAGATGGTGGGATTCTCTTTGGCAGGGACGCGAGTGTGTAGTTTGAGATGAATGTCAGGAATGCCAATGCTGTTATATTTGTTTGTTTTTGGTAAACGAGTTTTTGGTTTTGTGGGCCGATGCAGAAGGCTCTCCAAGTCTTTTCGGACCTTTGAGGGGGTCGGGTCGGTGTCTTCTTGCTGGAGTAGTCTTTCGTCTTAGGTAAGTTACCTTCTGCCTCCATCCCCTTATGGTTTGAAATATAAATGTATACATATGTAATATTATGTATATGTGCAAGTGTGCTGCTTTGGCGGCAGACGGGTGTGTGGGCACTTGGCCCTGAACCACACAAATGTAGCCAACCTTGCATTTTCTATTATATTGCTTATCTATACTTTTTCATTATGGATGGCTTGCGATGATTTGTAAAGGGAATGAGAGAGAGAATCTGGGTTCCTTTTAAAACACCACACACACACACACACACACACCATCTGCTTATCTGGGTGGAAAAGGGGTTGTTGCGGTGACAGTTTACAACACACACACACACACACACACACGCACGCACGCACGCACGCACGCACGCACGCACGCACGCACGCACGCACGCACGCACGCACACACACACACACACANCGCACGCACGCACGCACGCACACACACACACACACACACACACACACCATCTGCTTATCTGGGTGGAAAAGGGGTTGTTGCGGTGACAGTTTACAACACACACACACACACACACACACACACACACACACACACACACAATCAGTTTTATGTCTGTCAGTCTTTTTCCTGTTGTTTGTCCTTCCTCTAATTTTTTCTATTTTTCTGTGTGCCCAACTGAGCACCCTTAAGTAGTGCCAAACAGTCGGTGGTTCCTTGTTTGGAGTGCCAACTGCACTCTTAGGGGGGCCGCTTGGTTCGGGATGTCTGTGTTGCCTATGGGTGATGACAGCTGCTCGTCGGAGTGTCTCCCTGGCTCAGTGGGTGGTTGGAACCAACAGTCTGCGGGGTTCACCCGTGATGTGAGTAGGTGATGTGCTGCTTTGCTCCATGTTGGATATGCGGACGACCCCGTCTGCACTCCACCACTGCCTTGCTGCCCGTTCCGCTTGCCTCGCAGGCCGTTCTTGGCATGCTGCTGTCTTCGCTGTGTGGTGTGGCCGGGTTGTGGTGTTGCCTTGTGTTTCACTGCTTTGCTGCCTTGCCCCCCGTCCGCTGGTCGTGCCTTCCGGGTCCTTTGCTTGCGCGCCTTGTAGTTTGGTTGCCGTGTTGGGTTGCCTTGTGCTCCTCAGTGTGGTTGCTCTGCTGCTTGTCCGCTTGCCCTCTGTCCCTTGCAGTGTGGTTGTCTTGGTGGTGTGGCCTGGTGCTTCACTGCTTGGATGCCGTGCTGCGAGTTCGGCGTGCCGCCTCATTCCTTGCAGTCGTTTTTGGCGTTGTGCAGCCGTGTTGCCTCTACTGCGCTGCCTGGTGCTCCGCAGGGTTTCCGCCCCACTGCTATGTTCCGCTTGGGGACAGTCTGCCTTCAACAAGGGTCAAAGGGTTCATGACCCAAAGCATCATATACGGAGATTCTGCAGATTGTCGAGGGTTCAGCCTCCTGACGACTCGGTGCAACTCCGATGAAACAATGTTTCATCTTTATTTTTTTCGGTCTGTGTCTTTTTGTCATACTTAGTTTTTTGGTTGCTACTTTTGCCTTGCTGCTGTTTGGCTCGCTGTTGTTTCCCTGCTGCTTTGGGCTGTTTGTCTCCCCGCCTGCCTCCACCATGCCTTCCCTTGCCTTGTGCTGTTCGCCCTGTTATGTGCTGCTCGTTTGCTCCCCCCGCCTCCCCCGTGCCCTCCAGCCTTCGTCCGCTTGTTGTTCATCACAGTGCCTCCCGGCCTTGCCAGTGTGCTGTTTGCCCTGTTAAGTGTGTCCCTGCCTTGCCAGTGTGCTGTTCGCCCCGTGCCCTCCTTCGTCCGCTGCTTGTTCATCACACTGCCTCCCTGCCTTGCCCGTGTGCTGTTCCCACTGTGTGTCTGTCCACTCGCCTTGCCCTTGCCCTCGAGCCTATGTCTATGTCTTCCGTGGGTACTACTTGTTTCTTACCTCGCTGTCTTTGCTTCGTCTTATCGTGTTTTTGTGCCCGCCCGCCTGCCCCCTGCCCTCCAGCCTATGTGTTTTGTTGTTGCTTGTCATCTATGTGCCTCGTACGTCTCCTCAGTGTGCATTACCTCCTGTTTGCTGCTCCCTGCCCCTCCCCATGTTCTAGTCTGTTTGGCTTCAACAGTAGGGCATTCAACTTTTCTTTATTTGCTTGTTTTGGTCATGCCATATGAAGTGGACGATTTATTTTTCTGGTATGTTTCTTGACGTGCCTTTTCTGCGCAGCTCGCCGCGTCGACTGACGTGGGGGTTTGGTAACAAATATCACACACACACACACAAACACACGCACACGCACATGTAAGAGGCAAGGGGAGTTGTAAGAACAATGGATGGGGTACCCCAAGGACAACCAAAAAACTGTCTAATTATAAAATTGCTTTAATATGTTGGACTGTGACTGTCTCATATCAAATGCTCTCGTTGTCTGCTGTAGGACAAAGACTGCTTTGATTCTGAATCTATTCATCTGGGTGGAATTGGGGCTGTTGTGGGGAAAATCTATAACACACACACACACACACACACAACACTACTGCCTTCCTTCTCAAAACTCTCTCTCCCAAGAGGAAGAAGGAAATGCGTAAGGGGTCAGAAAACTCACCCTGTAGGAAGGTGGTAATGAGAAAATACATCCCTACAGAATTGGGAGCCTTCAATGTGATTGAACGTATTCAGCCTAGTGAACTGTCCAGAGCAAAGGCACAAAGTGACACACAGGCGACATGAAATCTCAAAATGTGGCCACACACTCATGTTCAAAGTCAATGAATTAATTTTGCCAAAGTTCATCAGATGGGTCAAAGTTTTGATTCCATGTGTCGATCAGCAAAGGAGAAACAACTTCAAAGTTCAAACAAGGTCGTTTATCCTCTGTTAATGGAGTCCTTTTTCGGCTTTGTTCACATGGAGCCCCTTTTGTTTTTGCTCGCTTCTGGGAAAAGAAAACTAATTCTTTTTTATTATTTTTATTTGGACCATTTCTCGATTTATGCGTGTCATCCTTGTGCAGGGGCCATGCTAATCTTCTCTGTATCGTTCCAATCGTAACGGATGTCCCGGAAGACAGAAAACTAATTAAAATTTTGATAATGATAAAAAAAATAGTGAAATACCTAGGCTACCAGAGTCGCCCAACCCAGGCAAACCTGGCCAGGGGGGGACCCGCTCGGGGTACACGGGCAACAGCAAAGGGGGGTCTTTTTTTCCCGGCAGTGGGGCAATTTTGCGGCGACTGAGATGGACCCGAATCTGGCTTTATCTTTGAAATTGTTGATGTCTCACCAAAGGGTGTCTTTGGGGTATTCGAAGGGATTAAATGGCCTCGACGGGACTTAAGAGTGTGGCTGTGCATCGCTCATCCACGCATCCCCCCGGACGCGCGGCTGGGTTAGTGTCTCATCGGCTGCCTTGGACAGGGATAAAGTAGCGATAGAGAAAAGGTCAGGGTCAGGACTGAAAGTTAGCGGTAGGACATGCTGGGAGTAGTTTAGCACCCAGGGACAAAAGCAGAATTGGCTAGTGACCCCGTAGGGATTTCCAATTTTGCAGGGCCTGGAAAGGTCCGGTAGCTTACCTGCGGGTATATATACATAGGCGGGAAGTGGTCTAGGTTCAGAGCCTGTAGGTAGATTACAATCTGCAATGATGTTCAGGCCAAAAGGAGGAAACACCGGTGGGCCTAGTGCACCCAAGCGAGGCGGGTAGAGGCAGGTAGTACCCGGCTGGAGGTACCAAAGACCGGAGGCAGCAAGTATATATCATTCGGCGCAACGAGCATTCCACTCATTCATCCTGCAATCGTGCTGTTGCTCCTCCAAGAGGGATAAGTGGCGGAGCTCCTCGAAGGAGAAGATGGAGCTGGAGGGTGACGGTGAAGACCTCCATGGCTATGGAGTAGCAGATAGAGAGTAGAAGTACGCCTAGGCTCTGGAGGTGAGGGAGAAGGGCCTTTAGCTAGGCTACGGAGTAGTAGTAGAGGTAGGAGGAAGAAGGAGATCATCAGAACCTAGGAGGGAGGAGACTCACCTTTAGCTATGGTGCACTTGCATCGTCGTCTCCAAGGTTGGGGGCCTTGGGGCTGCACCTAGACGGCCCCTGAAAGGGGTACCGGTGGGTTGAGGACTTCATCTGGTAGAATTGGCTAGGCAGCGGAAGTGGGACAGGGCATGCAAGCCTTGCGATGTCCTCTGGACATCCGAGCTACAGTCTTCCTCCGAATACAACGTACGGTCATTATAGCTGAATTTGTTTGTATCTTTCAGTCTAAATTCAGCTATAATGACCGTACGTTGTATTCGGGGGAAGACTGTAGGCTTGGATGAGCCACCATAACCATATGCCATATGCCATACCAAGGAAGAAGGGAGGTGCAGGTTTGATTCTGTCTCTTTCATTCGTTGTTATTGTTTATTATTTATAATAAAGATGATGGTGGAGATGTTGAGGGGAAGATGATGAAGGAGGTGAGATGAGGGAGAGAGGACATTGTTTCCAGCTTGTGTTTATCTTATATTTGGCACTTCCAAATACAATCAAGCACTTTCAAGAGTTTTGGGCCAATCAAAGCTAAGGCTTTGCCGGTGCTTGGCACATTACACAAGATAATGAATACAACAAATGAGAAGGACACAGTCGCGATCATCAAGCTGTTTTTTGTTGAGTGTATGTTTCTGGGTTACCCCGATAGACTGCTGTGACAGGCGGTACTGACAATTCAGAACGACTAAGATGTGAAAAGGTACAGCAAGAAACATTCTGGCATGGATACACTATGACACTAATTTGGACACAGGTTTGAAGACTAGATCATGGACTTTGCAGCTCCAGGCACTGCAGAAAGCACGCTCTTCGAGCCACTGATAATCTGCACAAGCGTCTTATTAGAAATTTGACGACGTATTGCACTATTGGCTTCTTCTGTGAAAATTTGGAAGAAGCAAAAATAATGAAAATTTGAAATATTTCGAATGGATTTTGAATACCTTTGAATGTGCCTCAGATCAGGGTAACCGGTGTTCAGGACGGGCAGAACGCCCGAACCCGAACGCCCGAACGTATGGGACCCCTTGGGGATGCGTTCGGCCGTTCGGGTCGAATGCGGACCCAAAAAAAAAAAAAAAAAAAAAACTCGTAAAAAAAGATATGTTATGAAGAAAAATAAATTAAACAAGATTTGCCTGAGCATTACATCCAAATTCCTTACCAAATTTGAAATAAAAATAAAATACGGAGAACAAATACTAATAATAAAAAGAAATATAAATAAAAAGAGAATTAAATTTAGTGCATGCGGAGCACGTTTTCGACACCGCCATCTTTGGCGATTTTTTTTTTTTTTTTTTGGGCATAGCTAAATGCACTGAAAATTTACAGAGGTGTACTTCACATTGCAAGGAAGATGAGCATTAGCGAACTTTGGCAATCAAACAGCATCATACATATGAGCCCAGATAGTCTTGACCTCGAACCACAGCAGACTGGCATCACGAGATACACCAAATAAGAACACACCAAGAGTTCAAAATTGAGAATCCTGTAGTCCCATCATCATCAACTACGAACCAGAGTTGATATCCTATTGGCGCTCGGCGCCCAGACTACAGGTGGCAGATCCTATCTAGCCTATACTACGAAGCAGAATGATGATATCACCAGCGTTCCCGAAGTACGAGCATATGGCGACCAATGACGCACGCTTCAGCACCAGGTATGTCTCTCGTAACACTCACAACCCCGATCCACACCGCACAGATGCCACTAGCACCCCAAGGACCACCCTGCGCTTCACCTAGCATACAGCAGCGCAGCTTGGCTATGGCTGCGTGCTCCCTCCTACTCGCCCGTGAGAGCGTGAGTGCCAGCCAGCCAGCAGATTGCGCAGCAGCGCTCACGCAGCATGCAGCAAGCACCTGAATAATCCGAATGAGGAGGCAGGCCCTTCCCTATATCGAAGTGGCCTGCCTGCGTCCAGTCCAGGAAGCTTCCAGTAGGCCCCGGTAGGCACAGGCCCAGTCACCAAGAGAGCAGGCCTTGGGCCTGAAGTGGTTGCATGCGCCCAACTGCTTTCGGCCTGTGTTTGGCCCGGTACCCGTATCCAGCCCAGGGCCTGCTTCACATTCATTTACACAGGCGGCCCAGGGCCT